TTTCTTTTTCTTTGCTTAATTGTTGTGAACTTACGGTTTGCGTCTCATCGGTTGTAATTTGTTTTACTGTGCCAATTTTACGGACTATTCGCCATTTGCGCAGACTTAACTGCTGACGTGGAATAATTGTTGCCCGAATTGGAGAGTCGCATTACCTATTCGTGAGTTAATTGTATTCCCTTTTTGTTTATTACTGCTATTGTAGAACCACGGTTATTCAATATACTCATTCCGCCCACTGCCCTGTATTTTAACTGCCCAGAGCGTGCGTTAGTTAGGTGATATCATTAGCCTTATACTCTCTGCCGTAACAACTAGCCTGAGAAAGCGACTTCAGAATGGTCCCAAACCACACTCAAACATATGAAGCCCATAAATACCATGCGCCTTTGTAGGATTATTGGCGGCCACACGGCGGACAACACTAATGAATCCGTAGGCTTAGCAATTCTTCCAACAGTAAGTCCACTTAGATAAAATATGCCTGAATCTAGCAGCGTTTATTCCGACTGTACCCCACGACTGCCTTCGCTATACGGGATGATGCCTTTTGTCCAACCATATACAAACAATAAGTAAAACTACCTAGGCAACATGAATATATTAGCTTACTTCACTTAAATGCTCGGTTAACAACAAAATGCACCTCCATTCCGCACCGTTGCTCTCCTGTTCTGACATCGTATTTGTCACGGAGACTTGAGAAAACGAACATACTTCTGACACCTTGTTCTACATCTCGAACTTCCGCCGCTCGAGATCCAGTCACGTATCCTTTCGTCGTGGCGGTTGTCGCATATATGTGGACAAATTCACAACGCAATTTCTGTGTACGACCCACTCCTAGCTAGACTTGATGACTCTGCTTGGATTAACATTCAAATATACTGCAAGACCATCTTTGATATTTGTGTGTACAACCTACCAAACTGTCGTAAGATGGACATTAATCGGCTAGTTGAAGTCTTTTCATTTGACTCCAAGCAGCCGGCAATTCAGCAAATTATTGCTTGGGACATTTGTATGCCTGAGGTTGCATGGTATTCACCACCGTTCCAAGTGAAATATGTAAATAAATAAATTTGCATATTTACCGACGGACGGTACACGGCCCCATAATTGGGAGCATTTACTTCCATCAATCCATAGTTTGGTTAGATGCTGCAACATTCATCTCCGACGCGTGGTGAACACTTGCTAGACCTATTCTTCAAACAAAACACAACGCAGAATTTAACGCATCCTCCTTAATATTCCTGAGAGTGACAACAAAATACTAGCGATTTATTTCGGAAAACCGCCTACAACCATGACACATTCAAAAATATTATACATTTTCGTGCCTACCACAAGACTAACTGAAAGAATTTCGCAATCATATTACTATCTCTAGACTGGGATGAATTTTTCCTGTCACCCGCAACTTAACACGCGGCTGAATTGTACAAAATTGCATTTCTGTGTCTAGATATTTTCTCCTCGATGCATCACAGTCGTATAACTTGAAATAAGAGGCGGAACACCATCTCTTTGCACATAATACTAAAACTGAAAAAGCTACGACAGAGACTTAAAAAGAGAAACAAACAAGCTTAATCTCTCAATTCAAAAGAATCACATAATGTCATCCTTAGAAACAAGTCGGTCCTCAAAACTTCTCAGCGATGAGACCAATGTCTTACACTTCTGAAATTCCTCTACGGAAATGACTAGACAATTCCAGCTCATACGCAACTTCAACTAGTATTTACCGCCTTCCATTATACAACATTTCTGCGAGTCCGGGTCAGATTTGGGAGGTTTTCAGTGAACGCTTTTCATTTTTTTTAATGAGTTATGCCTTGATGTCTCCGCACTGCTTCAAAGTAATTTTAATTTAACCACGAACTCGGAGATTATTCTAGAGGTGTGGCAACATGTGTTTGTTTCACGACGACGCAAAAGTGGCTGAAGTAGAATGCAGATAAACTCTCGGCAATAAAAGCCAAAATTCCTATAATTCCTATCGCCCCGGAATGTGGTCAACACTTTCTAACACGGGTTCCTGAGAACTCGGTCATGTATTACTTGTCAAGTACAATTGTTAGATCATCATCATCATCATACACGTTAGCTAGAGGTGGGGAATACCACAGCTACTGTGCCGCAATACACAGAAAAAGGAGAAAAGATACAATTGATGCAAGCTGGCTGAGCTACCGGTAACGGATGATCATCGTTCTGTCAAACTTCCAGTTGACCACTGTGCGTCAAAAAATTACTATGCAAAATTATATAAGGCTAAATATTGAGATCGTGGTTGGAAATGGGGGATAAGAGGGATGGGGTGGGACAAAGAAACTCAGCACGAACGCCACCAATGTCGGCTCCTAGCCATATCAACAAGTGTGTCCAACCAAACGTGTTCATCGTCTTTCGGACCCCAACCAGGGAACCGAGCCGCTCTAACCGAGGCCAGCTCCGAAATGAGGGCCTTCATTCCTCTCGACTAAGTCATCTCTTGGCCACCCCTCCTCTTCTTCCTTCCACACCCCCGGCCGGCAAACAACGCGCGTAGCGGGAGTCGGTGGGCTGGCGTGCGTAAAACGTGGCCGAGCCATCGGAGCCTGGTGCATGAAATAACGGTGCTGAGCGGTTCAGTTACTATTCCTGGGCCATAAACATGGCGTCGAACAAGCTAGTTGCTTACGCGATGTTCTCACCATTTGTGAGCAAAATTGCGACGGCACCGAAGGTCGAACGTAACTAGTCTCTTCCGATCGGCTGTTATAAGAGTCTGCTTATCATATTTCTTGATATGAGCGAAGCGTCCGGTTAGTCATCATTATTTTCTGGTCGGCATCAGGCAGTTAAAAAGCAAAGCAATACTTCCAAGAGTAGACGATTCATGAGTGGTGCGATTCAAGGAAGTGTTCTAGAGCCTCTTCCGTGTTTGATGTACATTAATGTCGTCCTCGAAGTCATCAAACACGGAATAACTGATTTGCATATGCTATTAAAATTTTCTGATTTCGATTTGGACAATTTCATTAACTCACTAGCCGACATACAAGCATATAAGCACGAGCTGGAAACTTGGGGCAGCAAGTGGAAACTAGTATTTGCATCCGGGAGGTGCAGCTGCAAACATTATCATTTCAGTATTACACCAAACTCTTTGACGCCGGAGAGTGAAGTCCTGTTTACATGTCTCTCAACCCGCGATCATGCGTTACACTACTCGAGCTCCTTCAACAGGTATATTATACTATTGCAGAACTCCGTAAACTATGTGGGTTAATACTAAAACCCTCTATTTTGAATAAGTGCTAATCTACCTGTATAATACCTGTATTAGTCTCTTACTCGAAACTTGCTCAAACATAACTTGAACTTCATGTTTGATATAATCCACAGACGCGTCATTACCTCAGACACTGAGGTAATAATTCAATATGCATTCATGTATAATAAATGGAGTATATATCGCAAGTTACAAATCGGAAAAGGCACGAACTAGCTTAAGATTAAATTTCTTTCTTTAGCTCTTTGCAGTCCTGTGGAACAAACCACAACCGAATCTGTGAAAGTGTGTCTCAAATAGTGTTTTTCCAACTCTAATTAACAGATAATTGACAGTGAATAAATTGCGATCTGAGTAGAGCCACCTAATCGGAGGAAAGAGCGAACACCATATATCAAAGACCCAACCTGGTTGAGTTGAGGTCAACCCACCTCTACTACACTTTTATTAATAAATCCACCTTGCTCTGCACTTGTATCTCTCTTTTCTATCCAAAGTAAAAAACGAAAAATTATAGCTTGATTAGTGAATACTAAACACACCTCGCCTCTCTTTTTGGTTGAAAAGCTGGAAAATCGACTCGTGGACACATTCCTAATGAACGGATTGAACGCAAACCCTTTTTGACAATTAAATTACCAATGCGATCGGACTAACGACACGGTCCGTGTTTCGCACTATCGAGACATAAAATACACATGCATTTTTGTTTGCTCGTGGTCGACATTCTACACTTTTACTGTACTGTTAGTATTACTTCTCTTATCCCAGCGGGGACCATCAAGTAACAGAGAAAATTCCCCTTGATCAGGTTCGTCAATTCCAGTGCATTCGGAATGCAAGCGAATGACTAAGAATCTGACATTTAATCTCAGAACTGTCTAGTATATCGATACTTTGAATACCCATTCGTTTTCTACACATCCCCTATACATTTTGGTCAGTTGGTCTTCCTTGTGCACATATTTTCTCTTGTTCTTTACGGTACTTTTGGCCCCGACTGGGTCGATCTTCTCAGGCAATCGATTTAAGCTTCCAAAATCTATTAGTTATACCCATGCAAGGCGAATTGCCATTGGTTCAATGGCGATAAAAGATGCTTTGCGTTAAGTACCAATTGATCTTGCGGGCTAGGTGGCTTGACTGTCAACACTAGGTACACAGACCTACAGCCAAAATGATGCGTTACATAAGTGCTGTCTTTCCTGCGGGTGAAGTACATCGAGAGGGAACAGCCGGAAGGAAAGCAGATCACCAGAAGACAGTTCCATTCATGGCCGTATCACTTCACTTATACGTTTTATTTATACAAATTAGTATATTTTAATACTACGCCAACTATTACACAATTTGGGCATGTCCGAAAATAGTTTGCGGACTGCTTTGAAAAATTGGTAAATATAATTATTGCTCCTTTCGATTCTGTCGTATATCAAGAATGGTAACATCCAATAGGATTTACCTCGCACAGACGAGTAAAATATTGTTGTGTTATATTCTCTAAAAACTCATGTTGCCTACGCAAGATGATGCTACGACCTTAACATATTTGATCTGCGCCAAATATGGAAGCACCATCTCACTTAAACTAAAAGGCAACCATGCTTATTTGTAGTATTATTACTTTTCTATGCAACAAATATTCTGTGCTTAATTTAGTTTGAGGTTAAGTTTCAGCAAGTTCCTTCGACCTAGACGATTTCGATGAGACGAGTGATTAAGCGAGTTTTTGTCCGATAAGAAGCGCCGCACCATATTGTCGAGAAAAGCTGACCATATTGTGGCCAGACGAATTGATACCCAAGTTCCATGGAAAATCGTGGCTATGTAGATTGATGCAAAGTTATAAATCAGACATCGTAGGTGCGCGAACAAGATGATTGGTAATGGTGTGCCTGGTCTCGATAAGTAACTAGGTCTTTTCGATGCTCCTTGAGGGCAAGGTCACATGGTCCGTTGCGCATCCCGAACATCACAATTTGACGAATACCGTTGCTTCTGTGATTTCACCTATTTTGAAAAAGTTAGCATATTTTGCATTCGTCTGTGAATTCAATGAAGCAGTCATATGATCACACCAATTCGACATCTTCTTCCTTTAATGTGGGATACCGGTTGTGAAACGTGGCAATAGTCTCTCATGGATTCGATACCCAACAGGGGAGCAAAAGAATGCGCACTACTGACGAGCACAATTAAGACGAAATGATGGTCTGCTGGTTTCCGGATTTGGGTTAGTTTAAGCTGGATTGTGAGCAGATGGAATGAAACAGTAAATGGCTTCTGCTAGAAAAGTGATCACCTACCTAAGTCGAACTTTTGTCTTGAGGCATTCCAGGCTTCAAGACTTTAAAATATATGTTAGGTCGAAGCTTGAGTACTGTAAGATAGTGTATAGTAATCTGAGAAAAGTGGATATCATCGCACTAGAAAAATTCAACGGTAATCACAAAAAGGTATTTGAACTTGCCTAATAATATGACATACCGTGAGCGTTGCGAGGTGCTAAATCTGGAGCCACTGTGGCTACGTAGACTTAATCTTTGCCTACTATACCGCTTACTATTCAGATTAAGCTTCACAGCTCAGCAACAACTCGAATTTCATGCTTGCAAGCGATATGAACTAAGAAACAGCGAGCGCACATTGCAAATACAAAAATCTCGCACAACGCTCCACTCAAACGTTCTCTCCGTAAAATATGCATTAATATGGAACAACTTGCTTTGAGTGTTAGAAACTGCACTACTTATCCGCAATTCAGACGCATGATTAATATTCACCTGACTGTTGCAAATATCTGGTCAACGCTTACTTAAACGATGACTGTAGATAATTTGTATGAGAAAGGTCCTAGATGCATTTAAAAGTTGCCATATCCTCTATACGTTTCAATATTATAAGATTCCGTACAAATAGTTAAATTCTTGGGTATGTATTTATAAGCGATCTTACTTTTATTAATCCATCTAAATAATTCTTTTTTCTCCTTTGACTCACTGGTATGTAGATGCATTACGCCTTTCAAGCTGATGTCTCTGTAACATCGTCGTCACTCGCCAAGAATTTCCATCAAATTGCGATTGGCCTATCGGCAGGCGTTTGAATTCATTATTATGCTTTTTAATTCCTCATACTTTATCTTCTTCTTTGTCTCATTGTTGGTCATGACTGGGTTGATCTCTTGAGGTGAGGCATTACAGCTTCCAAAATAAAAAGTATACCCATGCAAATATTATTGCTGCTGATTCGCTGGCTTAAAACAAATAAGGGCTACACTTGATTATTCCGCGTGACCGAACGGGCTGTGGCTTCATTGCTTATAATGTATGCATAAAACAACTTAAATAAGAAATTTAATACCAAGTTCTGATTGCCTATTCACTATTTTGCCACACGGGCCTTGAGCCATTTGGAGCATGGAAGTGCGGGTGAAAAGCGTCGTGGGAATACCATGCATGAAGCAAACCCCTGGGGACAGTTCCAGGGATGACTGTAGTAGTATACTTGAACTTTTGTTGAAAACAACGGTTGGTATTGTTCCCAGTTTCCTAATCTCTCTACTATGTTCAAACTGCTAATCACTTCAAAAAACCGATATGGGAACCATTGAACAAAACACGTAAACGTAAGTATATTATGCGATGACGTTGTACATGTCGATAAGACCACCCAATTTGTCTGGGCCTCGCACTGGCGAGGAATAAGACGCTTATTTATTTATTTCTTTAGTTATTATGTGACAGACGCATTCGCAGGAATACAGTCCATGCCATCACTTTAGGTCACCTAGATGGGCTTACACTGAGTTCTCGGCTGTTCGCTCGTTCTCGAAGTAGCCTGCAGTACGCTCCCAACTATACGCCTGCTTTGGCATCTCTATTCTAAGCCTGAGCTTAATTTTAAGGAACGGGAGTCGAGCAGAACTGCAACTGGTTTTGCAGTCATTACTGTACAAGCTGTCTCAGGCTGCGCGATCGCTGTCCCTTTGTCATATTTCTGTGCCAGTACGGCGATGCAACATGCGACAGCGCCGATCATACACTCCTCACAGAATCAAAAAACTATCTGCTGTCGAGTGTCCTTTTCCCCTGCCACATACGTTTAACACATACGTGCAGCCACCTGTCGAATGTGCAATCTAGGCTAGACAGCTCAGAGCGCTTCTGACTCCGCAGCGAAGAGACAACATGCGCGGCAAAATTATTTCCCCCTTCCACATAACGATGGGCAGACGACCCTGATTATGTGCTGGTGGATACAGCGGTGCAAATTTGGCAAACTAATTACAGCCTAACGGATTCTAAAGAATCCGCCCCACGTCTGCTTGTAACTTCGAAAACGAACAACACTCCAAACGTAAGTAACCTTCAGTTTCATTCAGCTACACAATACAGCAAGTTAGAATTGCAGAATTGGAACTCCCTCGCAAATTGCCTTGTTTCTGCCCCCATATAGCATTGTATAAGAAACGCCTTGACTTTGCCGCGACGTGCGTACAATACGTAGTATACCTATTCACTACACAGTGCAATTGAAGAAACAAACAAATAAACAATCATCATTAGTCTCCAAATTTGAGTTACGCCAGTTTACGCATGCCTGCGGTGAGGCCAATAAAGATTCGATCGTTTTATCAACCTTTAATTTGTTCAAATACTAGCCACGCTACTGAAATTGTCAAGCACCTGCTGTATAAAACCTTCACGCCATTGTTTCATGGCGATTTGACCGATAGCTTAAACTCAGGCAAACTGACAAGCTTCGCACGGTATCCCTGTGTGAATCCACGTGTCCACACCAAAGGAACTAACTCATGAAACATATGAAGAAGGGTATGATATTTTGTTGAAAACCAGCAATTAATCGACTAACCAGCATCATTACGACATGAGTTTTCGACGTGCATCAAAATAGCTTTGAACTACTTGGAAAAAGTGCTTCAGCAGCTTCTCCATCGCAGCTTGGTTCTCCGGGCTCTTCAAAATCGACTTGTAAAACTCAAGAACGGTTGGTTCAGCGGTCTAAAATGCAAGCGAAGTATAAGGTTATTGTGTGTACCGTTTATAACTTCAGTGCGGATTACAATGAAAAGGAAGCAACTTGCTGAGTATAGTTTTCTTTTCAAAAACATAGTTGCATATGATTCTGCATACTCTCTCAGATATCGGTCCAGCTTCTCGGTATCAGAGGCGGCATTAATGAACTCCACAATATGTTCAATAGCTTGCCGTGCGAGATTTTTCACGGCGTCGGAGTGGAGGACAACATTGAGATCTTTCTCATCCTCCGTGCAAAATCTTTCACCAAACCCTGGGATTTCAGCGAAGTATCTACAACGTAATGTGATTAGTTTGTGCTATCTTTAAAGTCTACTGCATAAAGTGCGTGGTCGGAACTCACTTGGTAAATGCCTTCAAACCGAGGGCTTCCCTCTCCTCTTCCGTGTCAACATACGGGTCCAGTTCGGTGAGCAGGCAATCAACTTCGGCTGGTGTCAAAACAGACATAATTTCAGGGTGTGCCGTTGAAATGCTTCGCTGCAAAACAGAATCGTGTGATATTTATTTGTTTGAATCCAACCTGCTTCCTTCCTGAAAACCAATCACTATAGCACTGCGTACGTTTGTTTATGATATCCTTGGACATGTATATTCACTGCGCTGATGGGCTTTCGATTGTTCCGAAAGGCAGCGTAACGCCATATTATTAGTTATTATGACTGGCCCGCGCTTGTTTACCGGGTTTATTTGCAACGCATACTATATATCATGGCTAATACTGATAGATCTGCAACATTGCCTCCTGACCTTAAGTAGTTTGTCTGAGTATGATTACCAATTAGCAGCAGATCACTTGTAAACATGACCGGTGTTTAGCTTACTGCGTATGCGAGGTTCACGTTGTTACAACAGTATTTCGAAACGCAGCCAAAGCAAGAACCACGTGGATACATTAATTTTGGCGGATCATGCCTGGAATTGCTTTGTATTTCGTTGTGATAGGGTAAAATTTAGCAACAGCTAAGTGACGTGCCTGTGTGATCTTGGCAAATATCATCTGAACAATTAAAAGTAATGGATAAGTTAAACGTTACCACGATTGGAACTGGAAAGTGGCTATAGGCTTCAGCCGGTTAACGACAGCTTCACGCGTTTTTGGCATTATTTCTACCTGAGAAATATCGTCCCAAGCGATGTAGCCAGATGTGAACCAGTTTAGACTTGGTTGTCGTGAATGCATAAATATAATGGGTTTTCGGAGAACCATCTATTCGGCTTGTGCACCTAGGCGACGGTTACTACTATGTACATACTTCTTCACTCCACAGCGTCAAACACTAAAGACATAAACGCTGTTAGGGACTAGGTGCAAAAGGCATGAAACTCATGAAATCCACCTATCATAAGATCGCCACATCAGCAAAGTGTAAGCCGAACTAGGCTGTTTCGACATGCGTATAAATCAATATTCCTAAATCAAAGCCAAACTCCCTGGGAGGCCCTGAACAAGAATATCTGAATCAGGGTAATTGTCTTTATGTTCTCATGGGTGTTTGGGTCACACTAACAAAATAAATGTTCATGACTGACATTCAAGTTCGATACGACACAGTGATTCCCGGCTAAGAGGAGTAAAATTATGATTCACAAATTATGTATAAGCAATCTATTTTGCTGCCTAACTTAGGCGAAACGAAAATTTTAGGATCGCTGTATTTTTGTATGTTTCATGGAGCAAGCGCCAGCGGAACATAAATAATTCGGACGACTACCAGTCGGAAAGCATATGCATAATCCTGTTCCTTCACATTTGGTTAGCCTCATCGGAAGTTAGATAAATGGTGATCCATGCTCACGAACAGGAAAAGTGGCTGTACATCCGTGCATCTCTGTGTGCAGGAGAAGTCATATTTCAATCAAATCCAATGCTAGTTCTCTCATCTCAATTAAATTAAGCAGTAGCCCGAGGATAAATGCAATTGTGGGCCAGTCAAAACAGATGGCGGTGATATCGATTCGCAGCTGGTTGATATTTGGCAATTCCACTTCTTCGGATCTTTGATTGAAGACAGTTGTCGGAGAACTGCATATATTTGCTCCCCTCGCAGCAATAGCATCCCGAAGACTCAAAGCAACCACAACAACCACGATACAGAAATCTGTGTGATTAAACCAGTAGCCGTTGAGAACGGTCTCCAAACATGTTGAAACTGTGGTACTTATGTTCAACGGAAAACCACCCGCTAAAAGATTAGGTGCCAGCCTTATATCCGTTGACATACATTCACCACATTCACACATTACGTGAGCATTAGTTCTCAGGACGTACTTAGCAAACTTTCCGAACCGCGATTTCGTCGGAGTTCTGATCGCTTATTTCTCCATCGGTCCATATATATATTAACGTCAGGTAATAAATAATGAAAAATTGCGTTTAACTATTTTAAAGGCGCTTGGATGATCCCAAACGGGCACTTCCCAATTGCAGTAGGAGACGTGGAATACCGTGGAAGAAAACGAAGTGTATCTTTCTGTTAAATGTCCAGAAAATTCTGGTCAGGTTTTCCGAAGTAGGTTTATTTTGCTGTGCATTCAAGCTAGATTTTAACGCAGTCTAGTGGCTCTTAGCTCCGCCGCTGTTTTGGAAAGCCCCAGATCCCGCATTAAGTCATGCAATTCATGTCGCCTGAATTGCGGGGGGCCTGCTGACATTTCGGTAGCCGGTGCAAAGTCTTTATAAGTTGCAGCCTACTCAGGTCACTGGGTCTCATAACCAAGTTCACTAATTGCATCCTCTGCTGAAGAATAAGTTGCATATTTTAGACTGGAATATACTCATTGTGCTGAATGGGTCAAATTGCAAAGGACTGGTATTAAATTTGCTGTGCTTACCTCTCTTGTTAGTACGCTTTATATTGCCCGCCCAAGAATAGCACCACCTTATGGGGTACTTGGGTTCTTGCTGATAAATGGTAAATCGAAATGTTAGCTCTATTTCATTGCTTTAATTCAGCCATAAGGCATATACTTACAAGGTGAATATACAATGTAAATTGCCCGTTTTTTCTTGGTCACTAAAATGGAGGTCAAAATTTGTGTTTAGAATGTGTTTCGCAAAAGGAGTGATTTTTCTCTTTTAGACAAAAAGTGTATAACTCTCGATCTAGGTAAGCAAGTCTATCAGGTCTTTTAGTTCATTAATGCCTTATGGGGTGACAGCGTCATATCTGTAATGAAGGTAAGCAATAAGAATTTTTCACCTAAGAGATACAAGAAACCTTACGTAAACTAGAGCATGCAAAAAGTGACTGCTTTAAAAGTTGAAATCAGCGATAAAATCTCATTCAGAAACAGTTTTTCAAATCCATTGCAACAGAATAATGATAACATTTTGCTGCGCAGTGCTTTCAATGTTAAACCATACTATTTCAATCACGCGCATTCGCTCGGTCCACCGCTGGGGACCGATCACATGACAGCAAAATACCAATTTTCATTACCGATCTCTCATTGAACGAGACGAAGCTCTCGAATTAATGAGATCATGTGCGTGTTTCATAGGATCAAAATGAATGCAATAAAAGCAAATTGCCTGAGAATTACTACACATCACAGAAGCGGAACTATCCTTCAACATTGTGGTGTTCAAATTACACATGGAACCATGTGACCCAACCATCAACCATTATCGAAAATACCACGTTGATAATGAAGACCACACAGACCACACAGACCACGCTCATTCATCTAGTTCGCACAGCTAGGATGTCAGATTGTTACTTTTTATTAGCCTACTCAGCCATGGATATCAGTGGACGTCGTGTATCCGTTCGCGTGGCCAAAATGTGGTCAGATTTTTCCGCCGACATGGTGCGGGTTCCTCATCGGGCCAACACTCGCTTATAAACTCGACACTTTGGATGGAGCCAGTTAAAAGGCTTTCGCTGCAGTTAAGATTCAAACTGAATTCATCACAAATCCCTATTGCGTATAAACTTCATCATCCAGGTGTCACACCAATTCTCAAGGGAGTGGAGGACTTCCTGTGTGAGCAGTAGTGTATCGCATAGTTCAACTCGTCGGAATTTGAAGACTATCTCTATGTCATCTGCAAATACGAAAGGTGGGCCACGTCTGATAACCGCACGGATGTCATTTACGTAGAGTAAGAAAAGTAACGGACCATGTACACTTCTTGGAATAACCCCACTAGTGATTGGAGGTGGTGAAGAGTGGTGGTCAGCTATGGTAATTACCTGAGAACCACCGCTCAGGTAATACCATAACCAGTCTCGTATTGGGTCCTGAATTCCAAAGAAAGCAATCTTTTTAGCAGCTGTTTATGTAGTACTCAATCGAATGCCTTTTCCATGTACAATAACCGAGGCATGATTAGGTAGCCTTAGTCAACAGAATCCGAAACATTGTTTAGATAATGTAATTGGCAGGTTATGAACGATCGTTTGTCCAGGAAACCATGCTGTGACCTGTCTATTAGCTCCAACAAATTGATGAATTTCGTCACACCGTTCTTAACCAGTTTCTCTAATATTCTGGCTACTACAGGGGTAGGACGTATTGGCCGGTAATTATTAATTTCTTGTTTGGAGCCACCATTTGTGACGGGGAAGGATGAGTCATACTTTCCACTGGACTGGAAAGTGGCTTGGTTCCAACGAAAGGGTAAAATGTTCAGCAATAGTAACAAGAAGTCAGGCCCTCCTAGGTTTATAAAACCAGGTGGGATAATAACGGAATCCACATGGGAAGACTGCTTAGTAGAAATCTTTAAATTTTGGATAGCAATGATAGAAAATGCAATTTTACACAGGGAGTTGTTTGTTTGCACTCCAATGCTTGCGTTTAACGGGGGTCGTCTCCAGCCTCAAGGAGGTAGCGAAAGATAGGCTAAACGCTACGCAGATGTCGGTTGCATCAGGAAGGGAATATCTGTCTGCATTAACCTATTCTATACGGATAGGTAGTTGACTTATCTGAATTGTCGGCTGACGGCGACGAACAAAGCACTCACCAAAAGCCTTCTACTCATAAGTAGAACAAATTCGCCCTTACGAATTCCAAAAGTGCCATATCGATTCATAGCTGCCGTAACCGGGAAGTCTTGACACCGGAAGGCCAACCGCTGTCATCTGCATGGCAGGTGCATGCATGGCAGTGGAGGATGGGTCGGACTATACCGCAGATAGTTAACAATTCGTGATGGTCGGCTACTGTCTTCCATGGCGCAGTTGCATAATCTGCAAGCTAGTGGGCACAAACCACTAGCAGTCATGAGTTCGATCATCCGCAGAGGACCAAAGTACGCGCACCACTGACGAGTCCCAATAGGGCGTAACGACCGTATGGTGCTTTTCCGGATAGGTAGTTGAACAAACTGAATTGTCGGCTGACGGCGATGAACAAAATACTCACCAAAATCCTTCTACTCATAAGGAATACACAAAGCTTGTTCCTCAGTATTTTCAATATCGCCAGAGATGCAAGAA